GGTAAGATCCTTAAGGAAAATAATGAGTATACGCTATAAAATGTTTTTGCATGCCCAAATTAAATGATGTCTCTCTCTCTCTCTTTCTTTTTTCTTCATGGAACTTCTTGTCTTTGCTATGTACTCTGTGTGCTTAATATCCATCTTGTCCACTATACGCTCAGTTCATGGAGCCAGGAGTCATAACTACGTTGTTCACCACTGCACACCAGCTCAAGAGAGTCATTCAGTAAATAAAGTGAATACTTACTCTGGGCTGAACACGGTTGTAGATGCTTTGGAATACAACAATGCTTTGATTTATGTTTTAAAAGGATCACCTGGGGCTGAACTGCAATGAGATTAGGGGAGGGGTGAGGCCTGGAAAGTAATTAGGAGCAGCGAGGTAAGGGTGGTGTTTCAGCCAGGACGGTAGCAGTGGCGGTGCTAAAAGGTGGTCTGACTCTGGAAACATTTGCATCTATAATGGGTGAACACATGAGGGACAGGAGAAGTAGATGGTGGGCTTTGAGTCTGAACAGATAGAAAGATAAATTTGCCAGCACACGAAATAAGGAAATCAGCAGAACAGGGTTGGGAAGAAAAATCAAGAACCTGATTTTTGGATGTGCACATCAGACACACAAGGGATGTTGCTGGACATATACAATCTAAAACTGGAGAAGAGGTTGGGCCAAGGAGAAAACTGTGCCTTTAGATCACCAAGATGAAGAAGAGAACTGAAAACTTGAGCCCTGGGCACTCCACCAGGAAGAGTCTGGGAAGAGGAGGCCGCTGGAGACTCAGAACACCTAGTAAACAGTGGGGAGAGCTGCAGGGGCAGGTGCTGCAAGTAGAGGTGTCAGCTGTGCTGAATGCTTCTGTTACAACAAATGAGGTGAAAACAAGGATTTGGCTAAAGACCTAGCAGTGTGCAGCTCATTAATGACCCTGAAAAGAAGCTCTGGTGGAGTCGTAGGGGTGAAACTGATCAAATACTTGTTGCCTCAGTGAATAAGCACATTAGTGAACTATTCCTTTTTTCTCCTAGTCACCTAGATGTAAAACAGACATGTTTAGGAGGTGGCCCCTCAACCTCTGCCTTAATACACCAATTCCACCTTCTAAACCTTCGCTCCAATTCCACAGCTTCTGTTTTCGTACAGGTCCACAAAGAAGATTTTACAAAGCAAGAAGGAAGGTTAGACTTTCTGATAAATGATGCTGAAGCATCCATTTTTCTATGCAAGGAGGAAAAGAAAAGCTACTACTTAAATTAAAATGTATGCAAGTCCTAAATGTGAAACATAAAACTTCTCAAAGAACATATTTATGATCTTTGATTATTAAAGATCTCTTTGATATCAAATTCAAAAACCATAAAGGAAAAGATTTAATTTCAATTAGTAAAAACAGTAGCATAGCTAAATATTTGCAACATACATAACCAACAAAACAGTAGAATCCAAAATTACAAAGATTTCCTCCAAGTTAAATGGCCCTACAGAAAAAAGAAAGAAAATGAACAGGAGATTCACAAAGGAGAAACCAAATGGAGTGATAAAGCATGATAAGATTCTCAACCTATCAATCAGGGAAAAATAAATTAAAAATACAAATAGCTATTACTTTATATCCATAATATTGGTTAACATTTTTAAAGTCTGGCAATATTAAGTGTAGGTAAGGATTTGAAGCACTAGAAATTCTTATACTGCTTTTCTGATCACATTGGAGAATCTCTGACAATATCTAGCAAACCCCAAAATATGCGTGCTCCCTGCGCAGCTCATCCTTCTACAGGAATGCTAATCAAAGTAGTAAATGAGTATAAAAGGGATGCGCAAGAATATTCTTTAAAATGTTATGTGTAATTTAAAATGAAATCAGCACTTTTTAGGTTCTCAAACAACTAGTGACCATCCACAAAACAATGTTTAAATAAAAAGTCGTATGTTGTAAAACTACACTTTGGTAATTTAAATTATAAGCCAACAAGTACAGACACAGTCACAAAGTCACCGTTAAACTGAGAGGCTATAGACAGAGAGCCACCTTTATTATGTAAAGGTGTCACTGATGAAAAGTTTAACAACATACAAAGCGTATGTGTTGTCCATGGAGATTAAAACCTGGGTGTAAGATGCACATTCAGGAGTAGTTTTCACAGGGAAGAAGAAAAAAGGACTAAGGAGAGAACCACCTCAATTTTACGTACTATTTTTTTCTTAAGCTCAACACAGAACATGGGCATTTACCGTATTATTCTCTACACTCTATATACATGAAATTTAAAATCAATGTAATAAAATTAATACATGTGACGTCATTCTTCTGTGTGGCATTCAAGCCTCTCCACTACAGGACTTTGACACACACTCGCCTCATTGTCTCCACTCCCCACAGCAAGTGTTTCCTAAGCATGGACATGCACATCACCTTCACATCTTTCGCTCTGTTTGTTCTCTCTGCTGTGCTTAATGAATGTTTTCTTTTTTTTTAACCATTTAAAACTTAAGTAGCCTTATACTATTGATAAAAATGGGAACTCACAGGTTTAATATGTAAATCATTATTCTAACATGAGCATTAAAACATTTCTCCTAGTGCCACCTAGAAATCTCACTGCATGTCACACCGTGGGGTGCCTGCCTCACACAGTGGCTCCCCAATGTGATAACTGAGTCCAGGGGAGGCTCGTTGGAAATGGGGCTCCCAGAACACCCATAGGGGTTCTGAGGAGATACCAGGCAGAAATCCTGCCCTGTCTTTGTCTGTGGTGCCTGCCGACTGAACTGTTATTTCACTGATGAGCGCCTCACGTCCCTTCTCCTACACCTTTCCTCTTATTTCCTCAGATTAACATGACTGTCCTTCTCACTAAGCCAATGGAAATTAAGCCTACGCTTTAGGGCTCACCTTAAACATCACCACCACAATAAAGTACCGACCCGGATGGAACAGCTCTCTCATTTCAGCACTCTTCCTCCCCTGGCAATTTATTTCTATTTCCATGTAGATGCTTATCATATTCAGGGTGATATATGCCTACTTGTCTTAGCTCCCTCCTCCAGCATAAATGTTACATGTGGGCAAAAGCATTCTATCTTGCTTAAAAGCAGGGGTTCCATTTTGGTTGTTTTATGCTTTGTGTACAGTAGTTTCTCAGATACTTGCTGCACTGAACTCTGCTAAATACTGACCTTGTTTAACAATGTGTATTAGTATTTTTAAAATCACATGCCTAGAGTATTAGAGATTGAACATGAATCTCTTAAACTACCTGGCTTCATTTTCAAAATGAAAAAATTGAGAACATATGCTACATGATGACAAATAATTTTTAGGTTCTTTCAATTTTTCAAGAGAAGAAAACAATGGTTTAACTGAAATGGTTTTTAGGGGAAAAGGAAAAAACTGCTTAACTTACAACTACCCATGCAAAAGTAAATGATCAAATCATTAACGCACAGTTTCCGATACTGCTATAAAAAGATATTACAGACAGCCACATTAATTGACTCTTACAAAATTCTGTACTTTCAAAAGATATCTGAACATGGTTTCTTGTTGCTTTAATAATGCATATTACTCTGATAAATCAAGAACAATAATTTCTATCTTTTCAATGCAAAAGCCACAAAAGCTATGTTTTTCAGCAGAAAACATCAACATACAACTCATTTGTAACTTCTGTGTTTTTCAGTTTGGTATAATAATTGAGTTTGTGTCTATTCCAGGAGAAAACCACTCTACTTTTTTAAAAAACACACTTACTATAATCCAAATAAAAAATAAATTAATGGAAATAGAAATGGGGCTTTTTAATGGAAGATATTCCTCAGCATCGATGCATAGCACAATGTAAGCTGGATTTGTGTCTGTCAGCATATACACGATGCTTTATAAAGACAAAGAATTACTAAACTAAATGTATAAATCTATACGTTAATTTCAAGTCACAAAGGAGCGGAACGATGCGAATACGTATTTTGTACTATTCACTTGGCCTTCCAGGTTGAAAGGAAGAATAAAAAGCAGGCAACTGTGAGGAAAAATACAGAAAGGTTCTCGTGTCTCGTTTTCTCCTCTCTTCATTCATTTTTCTGTCACATAGCAGGACAAGAAAACAAAACCTATCACGAGAGCCCTTTTACTTAACTTTTTCATGCTATTTTCACACTGTTAAAATTTCAACCTATTATGTCCACTTTCGTGAAGAAAATTAACCGAAAGTAAAACAGTGATGCACAGTCATTACATCTGAGCACAGAATTCCCCGAAATGATCCTCGCAGCGGTTTTACTTACTGTACAGGGTCAGCTACAGCCATGGCTACTAACAGGCCCGTCCAGTTATACTCACTTGTTAAGCAAGGAATCTTTTGTCTCCATCACTAAACCTAGACAGGCAGTAAAGCTCTGTAAACGCTTTAGCAGTACCCAAGTGACCAAAAACATGCGCAAGTTTAAAGTTAATAAGAAAAATTTAAATAAACCTATTTCACAAATCCCATAAATAAAAATAGATCAGATTAGACAAACTTACTGGAAGGTAACAACACACCTCATTTGATAAAGCAGTTCTGAGAAATCCAAAAATACCATTTCTTTAAAAATAAATAAATAAAAGAAGCAGTTGGACTAACAAGAAATAATGCACAATTTGGCTTGATCAAATACTTCATTAATTTTTTTTCTAGCCTGAAGGGAATGCCCTTTAAAATCCTCTCCGAATGCAATAGAAGCTAATTGCTTCCCAGGCTCCCGGTCTGAAGGATTCTTGTTTCAACAGTGCCACCTAGTGGAGTGAGCGGTACTTCAGCAGGTCACTGGTTTCACTGGTTTTAAATGCTGACTACCCACAAACAGTTTTATTTTCTGGTTCACAATCCTCCTAATAATATGACAGAGGAAATTTTACAAAAATATCATACTTTCAAGATTTCTGTAATATTTATACTATCTATAATAAAAATTAAGTCATTAAAAGTAGTATTATAATACTTTAAATGAAGGTACCTTAGTGATTTCTTCAGAAGCTCGGTGGAAATCCTGAACATTTCGACAGTAAAATCCTATTGTACAGCTAGGATCCATTTTTCGAAACGACATCTTTTTGGGAGAAGGGCAGTGGAATGTCTGTAATTTTTAAAGTTCTTTAGGGTTAATGTATCTTTACTTGATGGACTTAAGTATACACAAGAATATTATTACAATTGGCTTTCTAGCTTGTTCTCCAAACTATAAACACAATTTTCAAATGGCATTTGGCCCCTCCCACACACCAAGGCTGTAAGATACAACAGATAAAACTGTATGTTTTATTCCTGACTCCATCCTACATGATACCAGTGTTCTGCTGCAACAGAAGGGCGTCTGTCCCACGTGACCCACAGCCCTGAACGGCGCTACAGGGAGGAAAACTGGGCGGGAAAGACACACACACAGGCAGGCACCAGGGCCTGGGCCCCGGCAGCCACTTCAAGGACACTGTGGTTAGTCTGCCTGTTAAGAGATTATTTCTTCTTTTTAATACTTATAAACTCTTAACCATACAAGTAATGTAAACATTATGTACTGCAATGTAAACTAAAATAAGACTTTCACACAAATAGTCGTAAATATTCTGTACTGATATGCAAAGAAGTCGACTCAAGCATTTAACACAATCAGTGCAGAATGGTATCTTCTTCCAACTTGCTCTCCCATTATGTTTTCCTCTTTAGCTCTTCTTTATTCACACCCAGGTCACAGGGTGGAACTGGAGGAAGCCGTCCTATTAAGGTCCCTGCCCTCTATCCCACTTGTCCTCCTGGCTTCTCTCAAACAGTCACAGGGCCCCAAGACAAACGTGCTGCACAGTCCGGCCTCCTTGGATTTGGCAGTTACAGGGGGAAAATGACCACATGTTGCTAATCATTCCAGTACTCCTGTGCTTTAGTACTATGTTTTAAAGATTTTTTAAAAAGCTTAAATATTATCCATACTACTAAATATGTTTCTGTAAGTTATTTTTTTATAAGTCCATGTAAAAATGGAAGGACACAAAGCCATATCTATTAGTATTTGTTTATATTTGCATTAACTGTAAGGATATACAAAAATCACCAAGTTTAGGAGAGAACTGAGCAGATCAAAGACAGGTGTGGAAAATTCTTCAGGTTATTTTATGTTTCTGAATTAAAGAACAAGTCCAATTAAGCAATAGCCTACAATGAATTTGAACTCATGAACTTAGTATTTCCCTACACTCAAAACCATAAGACTAAGAGATTTTAAATTGAAACTATCCCAACACAGAAACATGAGCTGGGTGTGGTGGCTAAGGCAGGAGGATCGTGAGACCAGCATGGCAGCTTTCTCAGAAATGAAAAGTAAAAGGGCTAGGGATGAACCTCAGTGCCAAGGCCCTGAGTACTGCAAAAACAAAGTATAGGCCTTTGTATTTGTTATGTTTTGGAAAGCCTCCCTACTGCCTGCTAGTGACCCAGCTAAGGTGCCAGCTAACACCAGAGAGGCAAAATGCATCCCTCGAGTGGCCCTTCTGTGTGGAGCACACATCAGGCTTGAGTCCAGCAATTATGTCAGGAAGCACAGGCCAAACCAATGAGTTTCTCAAAATCCTGACTTCTACAAAATGCTTAGCTAACGCTTACTTCATACAGCGAGAGGCAACCTAGCTAAACCAGAAGCTGTGGGATACTAATCAACACAAGTATTGCCTAATTTGACTTTTCTTAATTTGTTGTTTCACCTGTTTTATTTGCAAATAAAAACATCTGTTTTGATATTAAAGACAGATCTGAAGAGGCACAGTATAGCTAAGAAAACTTGTTACAGGAGTAAAGGCATAGTTTTAAGTTATATTTTTAAGAAAATATTCTGCATATAAGGTATCTAAAAATAACCATTTGCCCACATCATCTCAAAGCCAGCAACACGGAATGCTTCAATTTTTACTACCTGGGGATAAAGAAGAGGATCAAAACGTTTGTATAAGGTCCAGTAATGTGTTTTTAACTCATCTCTGATGGGGCTTGCTTATATGTCAGTGTTTTACCGTAATCATCACAGATAATGACAGGCACAAAGTTGTTATTTACCACTATTCTGACATCTACAAAGAACTTCTTAAATTATTCACAGGAGCACAGACATCCGCTGCTGAACACTTCAAACTGTGACTGCGAACATCCCAGAACTGAGAGATGCATTGTGTCACTCAGGCCTACAGTCATGCTGCTTTGTGTACTCAAGACTCTCAAGTCAAAACAACACTAACTTTATCATGCAAAATCTTTTCTTGCTATTGCAAGGCAAATAAGACTTTCAAGCATTTTCCCAAGTATTATTATAGAGCTACATTCATTTTGTGATAATTCTTTGAGCTGCACACTTATGAGTTCTTTTTAATATTCATAGGTTTGGTAGCAATAGTAGTTTCTACTTCACAAACATATGTGAGGTAGTGTTCACTACATATACTTCTGTGACAAAGAAATATGTTTCTGATAAAATAGGGAAAGTCAACTCCCCTTTATTTCATTTTTCAATACACTATTTGTTGCCCCAAGAAATAGTTAACTAGGCACATATAGGGCACCACTGTGGGCTTATTATTTATTTATAATAGTGGGTTTTATTACCTAAACATATAAACAATACTGAAACAAAAACATTTGAATGTACTTTAGCACTTTTAAGTGCTATCTTGGAGATTTAAATGAAGATCTCCGAGGCAGAGAATACCATGACTAAAAACTACTTTCCCTGTATGATTCATAAACGGTATTTTTTCACTGAAAAATTCACTCATCCACCTACCTAATGACTTCAGGGCCACTACTTCCGAAGTTATCAGGAGTTTAAAATCCTTATTCCTACCAAACATTAGACCACTGTACGAATGTCCTATAATCTGATACTTGGAACTGGGGTCAACAACTAACAGACTAACTTGTCTATTAATAGGGTTTTTCTTACTTTTTAGAATTCGGTATTTGTAAGAGTTAGAAGCTGTCATCCTGAAAGTGTATATAAACAACAGGAACCAAAAGTCTGGCTTGGGAGACTTAGTTTGTTAATTGTATGTGACGTGTTTTATGTGTATGCGCACCCATACATGCATGTATACGCTGTGACATATAAAACATGCATGCTGTGTGTATGTGGGTGTACATACACACAGCATATGTGCGCGTGCACACACGTGTGGTGCGTACTGACTCTCCCACCCCAACAGCGGAAACTCTGCCCTCCCTAACTGACAGTGGAGACGTACAATCCAACGCACCCTCGCCCAGACTTATCTCATTTTTCCCATTCTCTTCTAATTTTGCACCTAAAAAGAGCTCAGCAAACAACAGTTTTGAAATAAAGAAGAGTTGGTCTAATTTGGTTTCAAAACGTAAAAATTCAACTCTTTATGTGCAGGAATACAATACTAAAGCAATAATAACAAATGATATAACCTATTTAAATCTCTTCTTAATCTCAAATATTCTGATATTCTACTTAAAATTTCACAGTTCTGTTGAATTTAGGGCATTCATATAAATTATCAGAACCATAAGCAACAATTTAAATAGACATGGTTAGAAGATCTAAGATTAAATTTCTCCCTCTATTGACCAAAAAGTACTGATCAAAAAATCTTGCCTACAAAATTGATTTCATGATTGAAGTATGAAGGTGGTTTCGGAATGTGCATATAATTCAATAGCTCGGGCTCCAAATGTCCACAGCGTATGCATTCACAACCAAGAGCAAGCATGGCTAGTAATACACCTTTGCTTGGAGCATTATACACTTAAGATACAACTAAAAACAGAAAGTATAATTTTATTCCTATACAAATAGACAACTTGCTGTCATTTTTATATGTTCTAGGAAAATAAATGATGCTATTAGCTAAATGCTCTAAGATAAATCCCTGCACTGAAGAAAACAAAAAACTCCTAATAGAAATTCCACAATCTCAAACATATATCACCCAACCCCCTCTATGAGTGTTCTGTGGCAACGAGGGCGGCATGTAAACCTGGCTGGCTCTGGGATCTGCCCAGGTCACCGGGAGGGTCGCAGAGGCATGGGCGTGGGGTCTGCGACTGTGCCCGCAGCCCTTTCTCTCCGGTGCTGCTACTCTGCTCAGCTTTCCCGCAGCTGGAAACTAAGCCTCTCTGTTCCACACACCCTTCCACCATGATGTTTCAAGATGGAGCCGGGGGCACTGTGGACCAAATTAAACCTCTCCTCTTTTAAATTGTGGGTATTATGTCAGATATTGTGTCCCAGCAACAAGAAAGCTGACCCAACAGTGCTCTAATGTAAAAGGGATAAGTTCTGTGCCTTTAAGTTACCTGATTTCACCAACCTGAACTCTCCACAGTGAAACCTTTAAACTGGTGTGTTAGGATGTTTTATAATGTTTCTCTCTAAATCAGATTCAATCCTGCAGTTTATGTTCCTAAGCACCCCTTAAATACTATGAAGCATTAATATTAACAAGAAAATATTACTAAAACAAATTACCTAACTGCATTTCCAACACGTCAATCCCTTAAGCACTGGCAATCCATGCTATTCCAGGGACTAAAATTATTTTATTCTATAATATTGTTTTAGTCTGTAACAGAATCAACTGGGAAAACAAAAACCAAAACTATATAAAATAATTACATCTCATTTATGAACTCTCAATTTTTTCTGAATTAAAGTGCTGCATCACACAATGATCTATAAAAGGACAAAAGAGCAGACAAAATGAAAGCTAAAACCAGTATCAGAAACTCAGCTAAGCTCTTAGAAACTTCTAACCTGGAGGCCACAATCTAATCATTGAACTTAAAGCTTATCTTGTCACTCCAAGTCCATCATGTTCTCTTCCATTTCTCCTTTGTTTTGAAAAACACATCTAACACTTTAAATTCCTCGGTACTGTTTAGCTGTCTTTCTACAAAATTACTTAGAGGTTTGATCATTTATTTTAAGAGGGCCAGGGCATCTAACAAGTTGGAGACAAAGATAAATGAAGAAGAAAGTATATCATAAATTAAAATTCAGCAACAAAGTGCTAACCTTTGGTCACTGTGTTGACTACAGTTTTGTAAATCAGCAAAATATTAACTTGGAATTGTACTACTATAAAAGCATAGCTACCTAACACATTTCTGAATAATTAGTTTGCTCCCACAGTAAGAAAAACAATACAGCTCTCCATGCATAGTACCTCAAGAGGGAAATCCTTTATGCTGACATCTACAAAAGACTGGCAGTAATGAGGGTCCATGTAAATCAAACTGTCATCTGCAAGGACAAAACAGAAGACAAGTAATTCAAAAAACACCTTATTATTACACTGCTTACAATCCAATTTCTATGTAGAGCAGCTGAAAAAAAAATCTAGGAGTAACAGCTTGCCAGACTGATACTCATTGACTGAAACATAGGTTTGCACAGGATAGATTAACTTTTGCATAATCAAATATGCTTGTATAAGCAGAATTTTTATAAAGTGATGAAACTGTCATTTAATTTTTGGTGATAAAATTACTTTCACAAACACACAATTATATTCTACAGTTTGCATATGAAAAATGTATTGCACTTCTTTATCCTGACAGGAAGAACATATTGCTTGTCATTTTATCATCAACCAGCACCACTAAAACTGGTAAAAAGTAAATATGTAAATACTAACTGCCAGAATGTGGCAGCAATGTCTTCTGAAGTTTAGCAAAACCAATAAATTATGCCTTGTGTGTGCAATAACAGAAATTAAGCATACATTTTTAGAGAACCCAATTATGCTGTGTATCCAATGACAAATGAGTGGCCACGGTGGGACTGATGAATGTATCAGGTACTCGTGGCCTGGTTAATCATCCTGCTTCCCCATGATCTCATATTAACTTTCTGACTTTGATAAGAAAACAACGGATCACTAACCTTGAAATCCAGCAAAGTAATAGGACTGTTTAGGTTTGCCACCAATAATACCCACACAATATTCAAGGCTTAAAACACCCTGCCAAAAGAAAGTAATACAGATTCAAAGTCAACAAATGATAATCATTTAATACAATCAAATTTGTATCACCAATATTACTGCTACCCAAATATTTCACCAACTAGCTAGCATTTTTATTACATTTATCCCCATGTTCTGAAATCCTGGTCTTTCAAACTACCTTCCATTTTTCTTTAAATCATTCAACACTAACATAATGAAACCAAACAGTCTGGTCAGCATGTGGCTCAACAACATTAAATAACTACTGAGGATGCAAATGCAGCATTAAAAAAAATCAATAGCTTTTCAATACACCAATAATGAACTAGCTGAAAAAAGATCAGGAAAACAATTCCATTCACAGTAGCTTCCAAAAAAGTGAAATACCCAGGGATCAGTCTAACCAAGGAGGTAAAAGATCTCTACAGTGAAAATTACTGAACACCGAAGAAACAAATTGCCTTGTTCATGAATCAGCAGAACTAAGACTGTTAAAATGGCCATGTTACCAAAAGCTATCTACAGATCCAATGCAATCCCTATCAAAATTCCTATAACATTTTTCAGAGGTTGAAAAAACAATTCTAAAATTCACATGGAAACACAAAGACTCACAAAAGCCACATGAATCCTAAGTAAAAAGAACGAAGCTGAAGGCATCACAATACCCAATTTCAAATTATACTACAAAGCCATACTCCCAAACCAGCATGGTACATAAACCAAAAGAGTAGAGTAGAGAACATAGAAACAAACCCATATAACTACAAATATCTGATTCTTACAAAGGGGCTGAAAATATGCACTGGAAAAAAAGACTGCCTCTTTAAGAGTGCTGAGAAGACTGAACATCCATTCGTAGAGGACTGAAAGTACCTCCTTCTTACCCTGAAAGTCAACTCAAACTGAATCAAGGACTTAGGAATAAGAACTGAACTCTGAAACTCTTAGAAGAAAACATAGGGGAGACACTTGAAACCACAGCAACAGGCAAAGACTTCCTGAGTAGGACTCCAAAAGCAGAGGAAATAATACCAAGAATCCTGAAAGAGGACGGATATCCAGAATATATAAAAAACTAACACCAAAATATGAACTAGTCCAATCAATAAACGGGCAAATGGTCAGACACTTCTTAAAAGGAGAAATACAAAGGATCAATGAAGTATGTGGCCATTTGAGAAATGCAAATCAGAACTACAGTAAGATTGCATCTTATTCGAAGTGGGAAAAAGTTATGATGTTGACATTAATTTATTGAGGGGAAAAAATACTCCACTTAGTGAAATAGTAGGGTACCAAACAGGACATACGGCCTTGCCAACTTTATATTTTTAAAAGGCATTAATGTATATAAAATTGTCTAGAATAGTGTTCAATTAACTGTTCTAATCTACCCCTGGGTGTGTGCTGCTGCACACATTTTTTTTTCTTCTTCTTCTTCTTTTTTTTTTTTTGCAGTGAGGTGTGGCAGTGCACACACCTGTGATCCAGAACTCTGAGAGGGTGAGGCTGGAGGATCGCGAGTTAGAGCCCAACCTGGACAACTTAGTGACTTAGCACCCTGTCTCAAAATTCTAAAAATTAAAAATGTCTGGACATATACTCAATGTGAATGCCCTGGGTTCATGCCCCAGTACCAATAAATACATATTTTTTTACTTAGGCTATATTATATGTTTCCAAGTTGAGGAAATACAATTCCTGCCAAAGTCAAAACACTTGGCCTTTCAGTTAGCAGATGCAGCCTTACTTATTATGACTAATTTAATATTTTCATCAGGCCTTTTTTCTAATCAAAGCACTTAACTTGATAAAATATTTGTACTGTTTCATTTGGAATAAATATAACAAGTAATTAAAACAACTTAATCCAAGGAAAAATAATTATTGTTGTATCTAAAGCTAACTCATTATACTAATCAAAAATACTAGGGAAACCTCAGTGAAGTATTTAGTATGCCCCTCTCCATTCTAAACATTCTACTCTAACCAAATTCTGTTAAGTTGGGCCAAATAACTATACTTTTTAAAAACATTTCCAGTGGAGCCAATTGAAGGTGTCCAAAGGAATGTCTAAGCAATAGTTCTTGCATTAATTTTGATATACAACACTAATAATCATACTGTAAAGCTCTGAAAGTATGGAATAGCTGAGCTTCCCCTCTCTTACTTACCATGATCTAAAGCCTAGAGGCTATAAAAGTGAGGAATACCAAGACTGCTGACCTACAGTGGTCCAGCTCACAGCTTTTCAACAACAGTACAGAAACATCCCTGCTCGTGAAAGCCCACCCTGAATTCCGGACTTTGGTCCTCCCCGGCTGGCAGGTATAGTTTGATCTGTTGTTCCTGAGGCTGGGCACAGGTGTCACAGTAGCTTCCAGCCAGCCAGCAGGGTCCCAGGGCCCCTCTATGTGCGCTACTGTGCTGCTGGGCTACAGTGAACAGTAGGCGAGGTGCAGGAGATGTGGTTTTTACCTGAGAGTTTTCAATGTGTGGCAGCTTATTAGGGTGTAACACAATGTGTGCAGAGGAGCATCTCATTCAGGCTGTGTTCTTTTTCTGTCAGCAAATAACCAAACCATAGAGGTTTTTTGGTTTTTTTAACTTGTTTTCTGAACAATAACATGTGGTCATGGTAAAAAGCACACAGAAAACACGAAAAGGTAAACATTTCCCCAAACCCCAACGCCCCCAACTCATCATTATTAACATCTGGGAGATACCTTCATGCTAGACCACATGCAGACTGACTTCTACAATTTTCTACGTGGCGCGTCAGGCAGCACAGGCTATTAGAATCTTTAGTCACTACTGTCATGAACATCTTTTCATTATCAATAAATATAGACATAAATGATACTATTTAATGGCCACAAAATATCCTACTTTATTAAGATAACAAAAATGCTTTAAAGCCCCTATTGTGGGTATTTATGTCAATCTAGGTTCTCAATGTTAAAATAACCCTCTGTTTTGGCCTGAGTGCTTCTGTCCCCTCCAGAATCCATTGGAATGGGAACGGCCTCCCACATGCAAGAGCACTGAGAGGCGGGACCTCCGGGGAGGGAGGTGACAGACAGGGCTGCTACAAAGATACCGCTGAGAAAAGGACAAGGTAGGAAGACCCTCAGAGCCAGCGCTTTATCCTGGGCTCCCCAGCCCCCAGATCTGTGAGAGAATAATGTTCCGCTCTTTATAAATTACCCAGTCTTGGGTACTCTGTTAGAGCAGCCCAAAATGGACTAAGCCATCCTCTGACAACAGCTTCATACATTTTGTTCTCAAGGACGTCAGAGATATTTTTTGGAAAGAAGAACTAAAAAAAAAAAAAAAGAAAGAAAGAAATAAAACCAAATAGGTATATTAGACTAAAATCTTAGCAAACATTAGCTCACCTGACTAAACTATAATAACTATAACTAAAATATAAAGATAAAAGTTATACCCAAACCATTTAGCATTAAGGATTCTCTTGCTGTCTCCCCAAACAAAAATCCTTAGCACAACAGATAGTCTCTTACTTTAACTTGAAGCCATAGGACCAGCTAAAATGAGATGTTTATGTGCTTGGGACGCATGAAGAGGTGAAAGTTCTAAGTCTCTCAGAGCTGAGAAAAGAAAGAAATATAATGCAAGAATCATCACTGACTCTCCCCAGAAAAAGAATGAGTCCATGTAATGGAAGAAAGACTTTGGCTCTTGATGTGTGTATTTCCTTTGCCACAGACGAGAGCAGATTTAGCAATAAAGACTTGGCAGATTAGGAGCCAGAGTGCCATTACACATGAGAGCTGCATCACTGGAAACTTGAAACACTTTTCAGGCCCTAGAAGAGCTTCCTCACGGTCTTCTCAGGGTAAGGATTTATTGAGCTGGACCCAGGAAGCAATAAATAAGACTGAAGCAATCAGTCAAAAAGGAAAGTACTAATTTGTCTTGCTGAAGAAAACATATTGGGTTTTCCTCATCTCAGGTCCTTAAAAATATATAAATACATAAACCTATCATTGTAAGGGCTGACGAAGCACATGCCACATTTCCTTCTCCGCAGAGAACAGGAAGGACGCTGGAATGGTGCCATCTCTGAAATTCTACGGAATTACCTTGATTAATAAACTTAAAAACAGAACTGAATGGTGAATTTTAGATTTTAACATGTGCATGAAATATACAGGATAAAACACAACTGCTGTCCACACAAAGAAAAAGGAAGAGAAGGAGGAACAAGAAAAAGAAAAAAACAATGATTATCTTTCTTTCAGGCTCTCGGACTCACACTCTGTCACCTCCGAGTACCTCTTCATCAGCCCCTTTCTGGCCGCTGACCAACAGCTCCTCCGGCTGAGGAGTCCACCACCACACGCTCTGCTTCACTCCCCACTGCAGGCATCTTTGCCGGTAACTGAAAACTGACAGTGTCTCAACTATCCCGCTCTCCCATTTTAGTGAACTACTATTAGCAAATGTTCGAGGAAATATTACACTTCAAACATTTTTTATTTTAGGGGAAATCTGAAAAATAATGAACTGACAAAGTTCTTGGTTTGGTGAGTGGTCTGTTATCTGAACTGAACATACCACTTAACTTCTGTCTTCTCTGTTTTCTAAAGACAATCGAGTCCTGGTGGTGAGGACAGAACGAGCTGTGTTTATACTGGAAAGTGTTATGCAGCTGAGACCCGACAGATAGCGACTGTGTAATCCCCGCGGGCCACTGAACAGCTCAGCATGCAAGGGACCACTCCCGAGCACCAGGAGGTGTCATCCAGCAGCAAGGCCCTCTGCGAGCCGTCTGCAGCTTGCCCAGCCCAGAACAGAGCTCGGGCCACAGGAGCCAGCGAGAAGACATCAGCTGCTAAGGGTGACTTCAGAAGCCAAGCCTCTCAGAGGTCACTCACAAGACAGGAGCAATGGATGGCACAGCAAGGGTGATATGGTCAGAATCACCCCGCAGCCACAAATCCTCAACAGACTCGCTAGAGGAGGGGATCGAAACTTCCACTCTTCTAAGGGGCCTGCGTGTCAGATGGCAAACCCCATCCTTGAGGGAGTCACGGGAGTGCGCTCTGTTACAGTGCTGTGACTACTGGCAAGAAGTGTGCTTCTAACCCTAAGAAAATCCAATTCACTGGCAACAAGAATCCATGTTTCGTGTGTTGAAAGCAACGTTGCTAGGTGTTAGAGCTGGTACCGACCAACATATCTGCTGCGCCTATGTACAACCCACACGTAGGAGCCAGGGCTGGGCCACTGCTCCACAGAAGGGGCAGACCGTGACAGAAGGGCAGGAGATGAGTCCAGGCTACTGCAATGTCACTATGTCCCATAGGACTCCATTCAAAGAAGAATTCTACCTGTGCCCTGGAAAGCAGACTCTTGAAATATGAGGTGCTGTATTGAAGCTGTGAAAATAATGTAAAAACTATCATCGCAGTCAGAAACCAAGCATCTCAAAGGTCATTTTGTCACATCTGACTGAGTATCTTGGTGCCTAAAACAGGAAAATGTAACGAGACAGGTTTTTTGGTGCAAGAAACAGAATTATGCTCTGAAATAGAACATCTTAAATGGCTATGAAGAGAACAAAGCTGAAACCCGCTCCTGACACTACCATCAGCTTTTTATCTGTAGAAATGATCTAACTTCTCACTGACCTCATTCTGGCACAGAAAACAAATTATGAGCTAATACAGAGTAAATGAAAAGTCGGTTTGTATCAATAATGTAACTTAATGTTGATTTTAATACACTAAGCTACTGAATATATTTGCAAGTCACAAAAGAATATGGAATTGTAGCCACATTAGAGGTTTTGATTATTGATAAATCTGTCTCGGTGATTAGCTAGAAAGACACAAACGTTTCATCGTGTCACAGAACACCGCTCTCCACACACAAGCGCGCACACACACACACTCACATCTGATCTTGCAATAGTGGAATTACAATCTCTAATGTCACACTTTACAACATCACTGTAAAATCATCATTTCCCTTTTAACAGGAAACAGGCTGCAAATCTGTTTTTCTTATTAGCTAGTAGCACCTTAAAAAAAAAGAACACTTATTTCATACCTTCACAAACTCTAAGTAGTCAGGGTTGGTTCTCTCTCCACCAAGTCTAACAGGAACCAGAATAATGACAGCTTTGTCATCTGCTTTACCAGAGGTCATGGAAGCACTCTGTTTATCAATCACATCTGAACTGTAAACTGAGGAAAATATAATGAATATGTATCAAACTTTATAAAAGTGACTTTCAGAAGTATTTTTACCCTAATCCCACTCTTCACTGGCCAGCCATCTGATCTCTGATATCACCATCAAAGTCCCAACAAGTCAAAAACACCTGCCTCACTGATGGACTGTTTTTACTTCCCGGGCAGTCATTACAGGACACTGGAGTTTGAGCAGTGGGCCAAACAGAGAAAAGCCTGCCCGAGTCAGGCAGACACTCTAATGGGGAAAAGTGACTAAGAAGAAAGATGCAAGAAATGTCAGGTGGTGGCAGATGCTGTGAGGAGAGCCAAAGAGAAAGGCAGATGGAAATGCTGAAGGAGAGGCCATTTGATAAGGGAATCAGAAAGGACTGTGGAGAAGCCACAACTGAGTCAGGACTAAAGAAGGTCAATAAAGACACAAGGTGGGAGCATCCCAAGTCCGGTCCTAAGAATAAGAGGAAGGAGCAAGGGGCGTAGCAGTAGGAGATGAAGTTAGTTCCTAGTCAGAGGAGAGGTCAGACTGGGGCTTCTGTGTCTGAGTGTGTTTTTAGAAAAAGGATGTCTTGGCTTCTCTCACATTCTAACAGCCCAGCTCCAGTTGCTAACAAGCCGGAGGGGCAAAGGATGGAGTACAGAAGAGTCAGAAAGCCGCTGCAGTTTTCCAGGAAGTGGGGGCAGCATTTGAAAGACGGCATATGGCGCAGTGATGGTCACGGGGAGGTGGTGAAGGTGATCATTTCACACGTTCGGATATGGGACCGACTAAATGGGACCTGCCCAGTGTGTCACAAGCAAACAGAGCAAGAAGGCCGCCGTTCACAGACAGAAATCCAAAGGAGGGGAGGACAAGGAGAACGAGAACTGGGCTGAGACACTAACCAGACACGCAAGGACGGAGGGTGAGCAGGCAGTGCAGGGACACAAGGGCGAGAGTCTGGGCCAGGACTAGGGTGGACCTGCGTACAGGGTCCTGCCTGCAAATGGAGGCAAAGCCTTGATACTGGGTGAATTCAACCAGGGCAGACAGAAAACAGGAAGTCTGAAGGCTAAAGCTTCCACATGTTCAGAGACCGACACACGAGGAAAAGCCAGTGAAGGGGCTGAAGGAAAAGACAAGCAAGTGGAAGGAAAGCGTACAGAGCTGGAAAACGAGTCAACACCACTCTCAGGAGAAGGAAGCGGTCTGCTGATTCCGGGCTGGGCAAGGTGAAATTACTGGTGAGAGGAGTTTGGGTAGAGGGGAGGGTGAGACAGCCAAAGTGGAATGGTTAAATAGAAAATAAAGTTTTGGGTAGAAACAAAAATAGGCAAAATTTCATACACGATAAGTTAATTTTATTCAAAACTTGTTTGACATTCACACCCCTTTTTTTGGAGGGGGTTTTGAGACAGGGTCTCACTATGTAGTTGAGACTGACCTGGAACTCACTATGTAGCCCAGGCTGGTCTTGAACTCACAGCGATCCTCCTGCCTCAGCCTCCCGAGTGCTGGGATTACAGGCGTGCGCCACCACGCCTGGCTACACACCCTTTTAATATAACCAAATTCTTCTACTCTTCCCAAATAAACTAACAAATTCTGCTACTTCTGTCCCATTACTTTCCCTGAAATTCCAAATTGAAATGTGCTATCAAGTTCTGTTCACCAGCTCCCTGTCTCCCTAGTCTGTCCAGAGCTGCAAAAACACTGCTGCCTCTGCCTTGCCCACGCCCCTGACCCTCACCTCACTCCTACATGCTGAAACCTGCTACACTGACAAGTGTTACACTCGCCACCGAGATTCCCTCGCTTAATGGGCACTTTTGGGTGTTTAAATAAAGGAAAGACATCATCAGCATCTTTTGATCAGCTGAACCAAAAGGGGAAAATTATTATAAATCAAATGAAATAAAAAGACAAGAAAATCAAGGTCCTAGTTACAGATAAAGATGATCTAAATCAGTGAGAGCCAAGGGAGAGCAGATTTCAGGGATCATTTTAGAAGTACAATGGGTAAGCCGCTGGGCACAGCGGACCAGAGCAGGCGATGCCGTCAGGAATGAGGGCTCTGCCTCGAGTGCGTGCGTGGACGCCATCCTGCGAGTAAGAGGGGCAGGACAGAGGGAAGTTCAGCTCTGCACATGCTACCTGAGGGGTTATGGGGCATCTAGGCAGAAATGGTAAAGGCAACAGAAAACATGAATCACCTCCCTGTCACTCAAGTGGGACTGGAGGAGCAGTTTTTAAAATCTCAATGTATGATGCATAGTCCTGGGAAGCAGAAGCCAATGAAAGGTATCAACTACAAAGGAAGAGGATACAGAATGAAAAGAAAGAAAATAAATAGAAAATGAAACATTTTTTAAAAAACCTTTAAGAACAAAAAAGGGAGGAAAATCATTGATGGACTCTTGCTTTGCCTAATTCCTAATTCCACAGTCTAATAAACTATACTAATTATCAATTCTCCATTTAGGACTCAAACATGAATAGTAAAAACTTTAAGACCTATTTAAAATCACACAAAGCACTTATAAACGAGGAACTCTGTATTTTTAATTTAATTAAGTATATGTAATAAAGATGAAGGCTGACCAATAAAAATAAAAGCACAGAAAGCAAATTCATAAATTATTTAATTAGTTGCTTAAGCATATCCTTCATCTTAATTAGAAATTTTACACAGCAGATTTTATTTGAAAGGTCTTCTATTGGAGAAATAAACAGTGCCTACAAAATTTATATATTGTATCTGAAAATTTACAACCTTCATTTTTATATGGTTATCAGTCTTTGTTTAGAAGGAAATTAATCTCAACAAAAAGCCAAAGAAAAATGTGATAGATAGATAGATATATATAACCATACTTTCCATGCTACAAACACTAGTTGGTTGTCAGGATAACCTTAAACGTTTTGTAGACAACCTCATATTAAATGTGATTCCAATATATTCAGTTTTTCTAAAACATTAATCTATTTAATCTTCTTACTAGCTTTTCTGTAAAAACCTAACATCATGAGGTAGCTTATTTTATTTTATTAGGAAGTTACAATCTCTTTTATCCCCAACAAAGTTTCAAGTTACTCCTGACACTGATCCCCAACAGGACCAACGCAGTGCAGCAGCCCAGATGACAGCCGCCTCCTTGAAAGGACGCACTGGAGCGGCGGTGAGGGACAGCGCTTCCCAAGACAAACCCGGAACCTTCTCTCCTTGAGACACAACCATCAACGACAGTGCCTAGACACATGCAGCCCCAGTAAAACCCACGCTCACTTCTCCATCCACTCCTTTTGATGTACTTATTTTATTTTTTAATTTTTTTTTTAATTTTAAATTGAATTTATTGGTACATTCTAGGTAGAGAGTACAGTTACACTCATTACTGGGATCTTGTACCTTTACATGACAGGTCTTGGTTCTCATTTTTTCCCCCTTGTCCCCACCCTCCCTTCACCTGATGTAGTTATTTTAAATGCTGGCATGTACTTGGGGAATTTATCGTAATATTATAATCAATAATTCAAAGTATGTATTCAGTACAAATGTCTGATAGGCATGAGCTATGTGCAGGCTGCTTGGTGGGGACCAAAAGTGTGTAAAATGTGCTCTCTACCTTCATAATTGTTTATAAGACAACATGACTGAACCCTCAGGAAAGTCTGACCAAACAGATAAAAATCAGAATTATAGACATCCCTTACCTGTACAATCTTGTGCAACATAAACAGTTATTCCTTGTAAATCAGGGTGTCTTGCTTCTTCAACTGCTTTTCTAAGAAAATAATAAGGATCTGCCTTTAAAATACTAACACTTCCAGTTGGTAACTAAAGATTTCGTTTCAAAGGAAAACAAAGCCATCACTGTTTGACTTCCCACTGAAACTAGTGTCTGCTGTCAGGACCGTCATCTGAATGGATCAGAAATAAGGTTAAGTCTTTCACAGTCAAATACTGCACTAAATTAATCAAAGAACATTAAAATGTAATTGCAAAATGCATTTTAAAAGTCTGGGGTATAAAGCAGTACCGCCCACCCACCCCAAGAATCTCTGTCAGCCACTACCAGGCTACAGTGAATGCAGGGGCTTTACAATATGCTCTGAGGTTTGCCTCACATTAACTTACACTACTAACTGGGAATGAATTACTGTTTATCCTCTGATACATTTATGAAAGTTTTCTTTTCTTCAATCAGCAGACAGCCTTTTTTCCTTCATTCAAAAACCTCTATGAAGGGCCAGGGATTCAGCTCAGTAGTTTCACCGCCTGCCTTGTAAACTCAATAGGAAAAAAAAAAAAAAAAAAAAAAAGACAGACAAAAACCTATATGAGGGTTGGGGGTGTAGCTCAGTAGCAGTGTACTTGCTTAGCACCTGTGAGACTCTGGGTTTGATACCCAGCACTGCAAAAACACAAAACAAAACAAAAAAACATGCAGAGGACCCAAACAAATTAACTTTCTAATTTCAAATCTTCAAATTCTGAAATTCAAAATTCAAAATGAAAACTACTTCTAAATGAGTGTAAATGCTCAATGCTACAAATGTGAAAATATCATATCAAAGGATATTATGCACCTGAGGAAATATAAATACTTTTATTTAACTACATCTTTATAATTCTTTAATTTAAAATGCTCTATTATGAATGCTAAGCGCTAGTATGAAAACAGGATTGGCAAATTATGGCCCCTAGGCAAAATACAGTCTGTGGCCTATTTTTGTATACAATTGGTGCAAGCTAAGAATGGTTTTGACAGTTTTAAGGCTAAAAGGAAAAAGAAAAACGGGCAATAGAAACCTTATAAGGCTTGCAACCCTACAATATTTACTATTTGCCGATTTACAGAAAGTTTGTTGAGCCCTGGACATGTTCAAACTATGCTTCTGGATTATGCTTTTATAAATATCATGTAAGGCGGGATTGGTATTACTACAACAAGCCAATTAATAACTTCAGGTACTTTTCCCATTGTAAGCATCTGGCCTATAAAATACCAAAGCATGCTAATATGCAAAAATGCTTTGTAACAACTTCAAATTTATATGATTATAAGAGGTGTAAATTTACCATAATTACCATGCTTGGATAACATTCTAACAAATTCATTTATAATAATGGAAAAATAATATTTTTTAAAAACTTGGGTGATATCTAAATAAATGGCATGTAAAAATGTTAATATAGTAAAATTTGACTTTCCACTTTTTTCTAACTACCTGAATGTCACAGACCTTCACTTTTACTATGACATAATTATAATATTAATAGTCCCATGTCCCATACATTTACAATTCACAAGAATTTGATGTGTCAAGAAATGCTGAAAACATCCATTTTAGCTCTCAACATTTCATTATACTATCAGTACACTACAGCCCCCAGGTTACATTATCAAAAAACAAACTGCAACACTGTACATTCCAAGGTTGCAAGAGATGTTAGTTTTGGAACATTTCAATAAGGCAGTCCAAGGAAAGCCTGGTTAGAAGGAAAATCTGTCAGGAGAGAAATGTAACTAGAGTCACAATATGCCTTGCTTTTTTCCCTGTTAACAAATGAAAGTGCCCTGTGGACACCCTTACAGTCAGACTTTACGTTTCAGTTACACATACAGACTGCACAAGTCAGAATCCCCACGCCCTCACAAACTGAGATCCTTTAAACAATTTTACCTTAAAATGTGAGCAACTACTGCTGGTCCATACCAGTCTCCAGCCTTTTTGCCGGACTTCTTTCCGCATTCTATTAGTTGATGCAAGCCGAAGAGAGCCGAGGGGGAATCGCCAAACCAGGAGATGATTTTCCTGTGATAAATCTCATTTCGCACTTCATGGTCATCAGAATATTTCCCAGTTGTTCCCTTCAGAGACACGTTTGGAGTTCTGAGTTCTCTTTCTCCTGAAAGCGACGCTTCGAAGGATGCAGTAAACTTTTTTACAGTGTGTGAAGTCCATGACTCGGAGTCTGAATTTTCAATGTTTAATGCATCGGGCCAGGTCCAAGCTACAGCAGTTCCAAAACAAAGTACTGAGATCTTTTAAACAGACAGATGTTAACAATTCTCCTAAAATAAGTATATCATTTAAAGTCAAATGGGTTACTAGTAAATTAAAGCAGGAAACCGAGGAACAGGTAAATATACATACAGTAGGTTAACAGCTGCTAATTGAGATACTGGGAATGGCTTCTCAGTTTCTCTGACAGAGGATTAAAAATGTTCTAAAATTAAATTATGGTAGCTGGGCATGGTGTTGGATCACCTGTGATCCCAACACTCTGAGAGGCGGAGGCAGAACAAGCCCAAGTTTGAGGCCAGCCTGGGCAATTTAGCAACTCACTGAGGTCCTGTCTCACAATAATAATAATTATTATTATAATTATTATTTTTAAAAGGAAGGATTTGGGAACGTAGCTCAATGCCAAGGCCCTGGGTTCAATTTTCCCGTGCTAAACCAAAAAATACTAAGAATAATAAATAAACCATGGTGATGGAACTCTGTAAATATGCTTAGGGCTCGGGATGCACCAGTGGTAGAGGACTTGTCAGTCCCACGCTGAGGCCCTGAGCTGGCTCCTCGGGGCTGTGATGCACGACTTTATGGTATGGAAGTCAGACCTTAATAAAGCTGCTTTAAAAAATTAAGGTGTGAACAGGCAATTCAGCAACACTCAGGGCATTCAAATCTGAATGGTCATGTTATTCTCAGAACTGTTCTGTAATTCCCAAGATTTCTAAAATGGGAACATATTATACACAATCAGGAAAACACAAAAATTAAAGATGAAAGAAAAAAATAATAAAGGGTACAAATGGAAAACTTTGCAGTGTTTTTCTTTCTTCTCTAAGACCTCGCTCAGAGGAAAGAGAGACTTCTGTCTCCACGGTCACACTGCTTGTCGGTACCAGGCATGCTCACGGTGCTCAGGAGTGAGCACAGCCAGAGAGTCATCGCTGGGTTACACAATAAGAGAAGTCTGACCGCAGCAATTTTTAAACGTTTTTCAAAAGACTTTTCCAAAACATTGCATCAGAATAACTTAATCCCTTCTAGAGAGTAATACAAATTCTCTACTAAAGAAAAAAATAAACAAATTTCCAAAGATTAAAAAATGCAAGATTCCACTACTTCACTGGTAAGTTAGTGAGAAGGATTCGGCATCAGCACTTTTATAAGTATCACCATTCTTGTCCATGATTGCCCAAGACTACAAATAAATCATCCCACAAAACCACTTTAAAAACACTTTCCCTGCATTATTCATACCAATCTTGAGTAAACATTCTAAGTGATCTCATTAATGATATCTACAGAAGAGCTACTAAGTATCTGTCATGGAGTGGAAAGACACTGTCTGACAATTTAAAAATCTGATTAATATTTATTAACAAGCAGAGACGATGGCCCAAAAGGGTAAATTAAATTCCTCTTGCAAATGTATACATTATAAAAATGGACCAACAGGAAGGTGGTGCATTAGGAAAAGAAAAGATAAACATAAGTACCAATGACATTTTTGAGACTTTAAAAGATAAGCATGATGACCTTATCAAGAATATGCTTGATCAGTTTAATAGATGACATTTTATAAAAATAAAAATTTTGAAGTATTATTGATACATAGAGAGAAAACAGATAAACCAGAATAAAAACTCTCCAAGATTTAAAAAAATACTAATTTTCAAAGTCACAGATGTTGAAATGCCCAGGAAAGATGCTCCAAGGAGTTCAACCAAATGAGAAAGAAATAACACAAAAATAAAAAGGCTACTGAAAGCTAAACTTATGTAATTCACTGTGGTAACAAGAATAACACACTACCCTGTTGTTTTGAAAAGACAATCATAAAAATTTACACATAAGACTTTTATGGCCCAGTTCAATAAAAATATAAAATGCTAGATTAGTCACAATTACAAAAAACATCAAGGAGTCAAGAAATTAACCTGAGACAATTTTACACAGTATGCAAGCCAAAGTTCAAAGTAAACAAACACAAGAAAGAAACAGAAAATAACCCAGAAGTCTGATTTACCTCTACCCAGAAAGTGCAGCACGAGCGCCTGGGCCAGCAGCATCTGGCCCGTCCTCAGCGTGCAGCCCCAGCCGCAGTCTGTCGTCCATGCTGAGCCGTCTACTGGAGGAAATTCTTCCCTGTAGGTCAGCCAGATTCTGGAAATGAAATCTTTACGAAATTCTTCTACGTTTCCCGCAATCACGTGATCTTCAATTGTACAACCTGACCTTGCAGTTAACACCTTATTTTCATCTACAAAATAAAAATATAAACTATAAAGACAGGTAAAGAAATATGATTGTCATTTCTGGTAACAGATTACCATTACTGTCCTAAGACATGGATTACATTACAATTTTTCCACCACTTTTTTCTCGTTTAAAAGCAAGAGAAATCTTACACTGCCTAATCAGGCTGATATAAAATGAAATGACTGAATCCTGAAGTGTTGGATACATTGGAGATAACTAATATAAGGTATTACCAGTAATACTGTAATAATAAAAACATCCCAGATTTTACAGATAATCCAACTCTTTGATGAGGGGAGAATACTAAAATCATTTTTCTTTTTATCTAATTGGCTCAGGATATACATATTAGAACTCTGAAATGTGACTCATAAATAAAATGTCATTTAAAAAAATCATGACTTGTCAATATGTAAAGATGTAAGCAACCGCACAACCTACTTCTTAAAATCAAATAAAATGTGCACGCAGTATTGTCATGAATATTTCTACTCAGACTGTAAGGTCAAAACTAATAAGCAAAAGAGAATATAAAATTCTTAAACCATAATTATCCTTTTATGTCCAAATATAATCTTTCAAAACTTGTTGCCACCCACATATAATTTTTAAAGGTTTCTCCAAATTGATTCTAACACAATTCCCATGAAAGAGCTATGGTCAGGCCAGGGATTTAGCTGTGGTTCTGCTGCTGCCTTGCAAGCACAAGGACCTGAGTTCGATTCTCGGTACCAAAAAGAAAAAAGAAAAAGCTATGGTTACTTTCTGCCTGATAATTTACAAAACACTGTTGCTCAAAATGAACTACCATGCTTTGATTACGCCCAGAGAAGTCCTACTTTACCACCTCAGCACCAGACGGGTGCCTTGGATAAGTAGATCCCAATAAACGGTGGTTGGTTTGGGTGGGTGGATGGGCAGACAAGTAGACAAATCCACCTACAGCTCTTAATGCCAAGGAGGTCAATTTTCAGTGTCCTTCTACAGGACATTAAAAGCTAGAAAAGTTTTATCATGCGCATTTCTCATCCTTCCTGTACCAATCCTTCTCTTCAAGTTCATTCTGAAAACTTTACAATCAGCCTGACTTTACACATACTCAGTAATGGAACTAAACTGCAGTAGATAATCTGATAATAAATAAATACATGAATGCTTGGCCTGTGTTATGAATGCCTTTCTCTCCATATTGTGTAGAATTTGAAGTTAGTTACAAATAAAAGTACCAGTAATTGAACATGGCATGATAAATGCATTCAAAGTTTCCAGCTTAGACATTTACATTTGTTTGACATTTGATAAAATCATATACAATCCACACACTTGATCCTGTGGCTTATGAGTCACATAGTTTCTAATCTACTACTTTGAGGAATGATTAATTCATTTTCCTCTTAAGATCTCATCTCCTCTATATATTTCTGGGAAGCTGCTACCACTAAATGAAGTTCTTGCCCCACTGTCCTTCCACTGTAACACCACCCTCACTGCTCCAGTCTCTAACTAGACTTCCTCAAAATCAATAATAGCCATAATTTTTATCTACATTTGCCTCTTCTCAGATTTCAAGCATCCCAGAGAAGAAATGTTTATCTTCAGCATGAGACAGAGTTCCAGACCATAACAGGTGTGCAATAAACATTTGTTATGTGAATATAAGATAAATGAAATCAAGAGATTGGTTATTTATTAACATACTGCTGTTTTTGTTAAGAGGACAGATGACTCAAAAGCAGAACTTTATGAAGAATGAAGAACATTTCAAAGAACCACTAAAAAATGGAAACAAAAACTGACATGTACAAAAAGAGGATGCTAGTGATATTGAGGCCTAGTTAAGACTGGTGATTATAATAAAAAAAAAAACCTCAAAAATCACTATAAGAAATAATCAGAAGATAAATTGTAAAACAAATCCTCAAAGAGTACAGTTATTGTAATTATTTAATAAAATAAGCATGCATGTATCTTTTTGGAAAAAGGATGATGAAAGTTGGACAAATAACAGGAAACAGACTTAAGATTTCAGGCCCTGAAAAAAAACTAGTTCCAACCCAGACTGATACATCCTGCGAAACTATCTTTGAAAATTGATGGAAATAAAATATTTCCACAATAAAGAGCACCTACAAAAATGTATGTCCACCAATTCAGTGCTCCAAAAAAGTCTAAAGGATATCCTAGAAAGAGACAATTAAACTAATAATGACAAAAGTGTTAACAGAATGACTACACATAGAGTAAACAATTAAGCAGAAAGAAAAAGAAAGGGAATCAGAAACAGAAAAATAATGTAATAACAGGAATAAGTCGATACATTTCAGTAATAATTCTCAACTGAATGGTCTCAATCCCCCAATCAAAAAACTGATCAGCAGAATGGATCAAGAAAACCCCAACGGTATGCTGTATACAGCAAACACATTTAACCCAAAAAGAAATTCACAGACCATTCAACAAGAAGAGATAACAATTATTAATATACTACCAAGGGCATATCCAACTTCACAAAATAAACAATACTTGAAATAAAAGATCAGCCAGGGATTTAGCTCAGTGGTTCTGGCGACTGCCCTGCAAGCGCAAGGACCTGAGTTCGATCTCCGGTACTGAAATAAAAGATCAGATAAACATAAATGCAATTATAATGGGGGAGTTCAATACCCCACTGTCACAAATAGATCAACCAGAAAAAAAAAAATCAACAAAGTATTATAGTTAAACAAAAGCTTCAAACAAATGAACTTAACACAACAGAATACATACTCTTCTCCAAAACAGGTCACAGACTAGCCAATAAATCATGCTTAAGTGCAAAAGAATCAACATTTTCTGACCCATATTATCAGAGCATACCATAATAAAACTAGAAATCAATGGCAAAAGAAACTATGCAAATGCATGGAAATTAATCAATACCTTCTTGAACAACCAATGGGTTACAGAAGAAATAAAGGGAGAAATAAGACAGTTTCTACAATTAACAGTAATGCTACTACAACATGCCAGAACTTATGAGACACAGTGAAAGCAGCCCTAAGACAAAGGTTCATAGCTGTGAATACCCATATCAAAAGGAAAAAAAAAGAGGGAAGCCAAATAAATAAGCAATGATGCACCTCAAGGTCCTAAAAACAAGAGCAATCCATATAGATGGCTATGTAATACATGTTTATTGGAAGGATGAATACATGTACAAAGTCAGAAATATCAAATAAGGTCCATCTGAGAAACGGAAGTATGCTTAAGGATTGGAAAAATTACCATTTTTAGGTTAACCCAGGTGCTAATTTTCACTATTATTGTAGACTTTAAAGTTATCAGTGAATCTGACAAAGAACCCTGACATATCAGTTTAAATAATATTTACTTAGTGCTCACACTGCAAGCCCACAATTTTAGGGCTATAACCAAAGATCTTTTCTTCCAGGGGTTCAGAGAAACCAACAATATGATATGGTAATGTGTTATGTGTTATATAAAATAAAAGCACCTAAGATCAACATGAAAAAATAGATAGCTGTGAAAATAAAATAATAAAAACAGTTTGAGAGCCAATGCATGGAGGCCAATGGCACTCAGGGACCATGCCACACAGAGGCCAGCCACCCCAGGACCATGCCACGTAGTCACCTGGTATCTGAATCCACACTGCAGAGGCAAAGGGGCCATGAAGGCCATGGTTATGAGCCCAGAAGATACAGCAGAAATGAATAACACAGAAGGCCTCTCTGAGGCTCCTCAAAGAAAACTGAAGCCCACTGGGAAAGTGAAGAAAATCTCTGCAGTAAAGGTAGCCAAGACCGCCGTGGTTGGTAAATTAGTGGGATCAGCACCTCCCATAGAAACCCGGGCTCACTTCCGGGAAGGACAGTGGGATCCTGCAGTAGAACCTTGCAGAGCTCAATCTTGCAGAAGGGCAACGACCTCAATTTGGGCTTTGCAGTCAGAAATAAGCCTGAATCTCAGTGGACTACAGCTGGCTTGTTGCCGTCAGTTGCCTTGGATCTGCATACTGCTGCCCACACTGTCTGGTACCAGCAGAGACGTGCCCTGAAGGAGGCCCCTTTTCTGTCTTTCTTTATGTATGTATGTATTTCTTTCTTTTCTCCCCCCTTCGTGTTCTTGTTTCATTTCTCTGCTCCTGTTCCTATCCTATTTCAGATTTGTTTCTCTTCTTCTCTAGCTTCCCTATTGCTTTTAGTTGTTCTTGTCTTTGTTTCTTTACTCTGTCTTCAACAGTTTCCCAAAATGTGCATGATCTTCCCGTGTCCTCTAGCCTCACTTCTAACCTTTTCCTCTCCTTCTATCCCTCCATCCCTCTGTCACCAACTCCTTCTAAGTCCTCATCCTGAAGGGTAAATTTGCTATATTGAAGGATTTATTTACTACAAACATATTTTGGGCTGATCTTGAATTTTGATCTAGTTCACCTGGGTAAATGTGAAAGATTAATAGCTACCACAAATTGTCATTTTCTAAGCTGTGTTTAATGCTATTGTTGATGCTGATTGTATCACTTGGACTAGGGTGTCACGATTGATCTAATCAGTTCTCCTCCCTGATAAAAGTCATGTGAAATGCAAAGCCTAAAGACCAGCTATCCCTGAAAAACACCTCCGAGAAGCAATCATTCCAAAAGGGTTCTAAATACAAGCAATAAAGACACTCACAAGCAAAACTGAAGTATCAGCCCGGGAATTAAACCAAAAACAGCCCACCAACAAAAACAGAAATGAGAAGCCACCTAAATAAGGTGCAAACCCCAACTTCCAGCTCACTATAGGCAAATTCTGGGGCAACAATGTGGAAAAAATCTGATAATTAACCACCTGGACACTCTGAACTGATAGCATGGGAAGTAACAAAACATGAACAAGGCTCTAGAAAAATTCAAAACAGAAATAATTTCCCAGATAACTACAGAGATGGTGAGCAGAATGAAAGGCATGATTAGAGATTCTAGGACAGAAACAGATAACAAATAGATGAGCTCAGGACCACGATGGAAGCCATGAAGGCCCAACATAGGAAAGAAATAGAACCCATGAAACAGATTAAACAGATATCCAGGAGATTTAAAAGTCCATTGAAGGGCCAAGGATTCTGCTGCCTGCCTCACAAGCCCAAGATCCCAAGTTCGATCCCCAGTACAAAAAAAAAAGAAAAGAAAAGAAAAAACACCCCATTGAAAGTATTCACAAGGCAATGTGAAGATACAATATCAGGTATAAAAGACAGGACTGAAGTTAGTGACTACGAAGAGAGATTTCATAAAAATAGTAAGGGACCATGAGAAATTGATCCAGCAGCCGCTAGATGATACGAAGAAGAATAACATAAAACAGATAGGAGTCCATGAAAAAGCAGGAGAAAGTACAAATAACATAAAAAAAAACTGTCCACAGAAGTAATGGCAGAAAACTTCCCAAGCAGGGGAAAACAGTTTGACATACAGATAAGTGAGGCTAATAGGACTCCAGCTAAGCCATGATGAAAAAAAAAAAAAAAAATCTGCACCTTAAACATGTAACAGTCAAGATCCTAGAAACCCAACAGAAAAAGAAAATCCTACAAGCAGAGACAAGAAAGAAATCACATACAAAGGCAAACCCATCAGAAAATCACAGCAGACTTTTTAACACAAACCCTCCAGTCAAGGAGAGCCTGGAGTGAAGTATTTCAAGCCCTAAAAGAAAAAACCTCCAACCTAGACTGTTGTATCTTGCAAAATTATCTTTCAAAATCAATAGGGAAATTAGATACTTCCATGACAAAGAACATCTGAGAAATATCATGAATACCAAACCAGCACTCCAAACAATTCTAAACAATATCCTAGAAAAAGACAATGAGGGTCACAGATACGTGAGGCTCAACAGAGCAAAGCCATCAGGCAAGGAAAGAAATTAAAGGGAAAGGGGGAAAAATAAAAATTAAAAGAGCCAACAACAGGAAAATATGACAAGGATAAGTCAATATGTAACAATTATAACCATCAATGTTGATGGCCTCAATTCACCAATCAAAATAAATAGACTGGCAGAATGGATTAAGAAGCAAAATCCAACAATATGCTATATCCAAGAAATGCACCTAGATGAAAAGAAACTCATAGACTGAAAATACAAGGATACAAAACAACAAAGATTCCACCTCACCACAGAAAGAACGGTTGCTATCAAGAATCAACCCATAACAAATGCTGGCAGGGTTGTGGGGAGAAAGAAACCCTTCTCTATCGTTGGTGGGAGTACAGACTGGTGCAGTCCCTGTGGCGATCAATATGGAGATACCTCAAAAAACTAGGATTAGAAGTCCCATTTGACCCAGCTATTCCTCTGCTGGGTATCTTTCCAAAAGAGTTAAAAGAACCATACCACAGTGATACACAGCCACGTTTATAGCAGCACAGTTTGTAACAGCTAAAACTTGGAAACAGCCCAACTGCCCATCAACTGGAGACTGAGTAAAGAATATATTTTTTTCAATAAAATGAAGTAACACTCAACCATAAACAATGAGAAACTAGAGTCATTTATAGCCAAGTGGATGCACATATACTCTTAAGTGAAATAAATAAATAGGACACGCGTAAATACCAAATAGTTTCTCTGGTATGAGAAATTGAAAGTGTAAATAAGAATCAAAATATATACTAGATAATGTGAAACAGGAAGAAAAGGTCTAAAGGGGAAGAGGAGTGGGAGGAGTAGGGAAAAAGTGAGAAGGAAAGGAAAAAATATGAGAAAAGGAAAAAATGGAAACAGTCTTTGTCAATAAAGAGGGTTGAAGGGTGGGTAAGGGAACAGGGTAAAAATAAAAACCAGGATATATCATGTAAAGATACAAATTCCCAATGATGAATGTCCATATTGTATACCTAAAGCTCACCAATAAAATTAATGAAAAAAAACAGCTTAACAATGAATTTATTTATAATTTTTAAATGCTTTACAAATTTAGCACTTACCTTCATATTTAAAATGGTAACATTTTCCAAGCAACAATACAGGGGAATTTCTACTAAAATATGTCTTTGTTTTCAACACCCAACCTAAATGAAAAAGAGAAAAGGAGGTTTGCTATTAAAAGATTAAGAGGCTAGCCATATATGTTAAAATTTAATTTCAAACTATTAACTATCACTTATGGATGTACATTTTTAAGAGGTGCAAAATATTTGGACATTTAATTTAAAATACAAGTTCATTATGCTACTTTTAAATAGTCTTTCAATCACATTCCATTCACTTAAAAAGCATGAGAATGAAAGTATTTTTCATCTTAGTTTACTTTGACAAGTCACAGTGTTATGGTACAAAAATGAAAATGCACAAATTCTGCTTCAGCTTTCCTAAATTGTTTAAAAAACAAAAATAAGGCTTTTTTTGTTTTGTTTTGTTTTTTGAGACGGTCACACTATGAGAATGAAAGTATTTTTCATCTTAGTTTACTTTGACAAGTCACAGTGTTATGGTACAAAAATGAAAATGCACAAATTCTGCTTCAGCTTTCCTAAATTGTTTAAAAAACAAAAATAAGGCTTTTTTTGTTTTGTTTTGTTTTTTGAGACAGGGTCACACTATGTAGTTGAGACTGACCTGGAACTCACTATGTAGCCCAGGCTGGTCTCGAACTCACAGCGATCCTCCTACCTCAGCCTCCCGAGGGCTGGAATTACAGGTATGCGCCACCACGCCTAGCAAAAATAAGGCTTTCAAAGATGGCAATAAGACAGAGTAAAGAAAGAATAAACATGATTTTCTGGAGGATCAGAAAGGCCCAGAAGAATGATTTATTATTAATTTTTAAAGAGGAAGAAATATTTTTATACATCATATAGTCATGCAAATAAGGGGAGAAAAAAGCAAAGCACAAAAGACATTTTCAAGAAAGCACAGTCCAGTGCTGTGGTACATCATCCTCACATCATAACACTGACTTCAATGAAAATAATGCAATTATGCACACTGTACTGAGAGAACAGCCCAACTGGTGAACAGGAATGCTGGGTCTGAATCCTAGTTTCAAAATATATGACTCTGAACAAGTCGCGAAATCTGTTTTCTAATTTATTAAAAGCAAAACATGTTGAGCCGGGTATGGTGGTACACCGGTAATCCCAGCACTCGGGAGGTTGAAGCAGGAGGATCGCTGCGAGTTCAAGGCCAGCATGGGCTACATAGCGAGTTCAGGGCCAGCCTGAACTACAAAGGGAGACCTTGCCTCAAAAAACAAAAACAACACGTCATAGTCTGGGTCTTCAGACATCCTCACAGGGCCATGTGTTGAAGGACCAGTGCCCAGCAGATGGCGCTGCTGAACAGCAGTGAACACTTCGGCGACCGCGGGGTGCCTCCTCTGAGTTAGTGAGGCCGCTGGGGCCGCAGAGGACCCAGTAACCTCAGCCTCCTGTCCTCTCTCTCAGGACCATCGTGAGGGCAGCAGCCACTACAAAGCTCTGCCCACACAGGTCCCTCAGTGACACCAATCCTTCCTACATTACTCACTACACAAACGATGAGGAAGAAGGATACACAGATAGTTCAGAATGAGTTTCACCAATAAAAACAAGATACTAAAATCACTAAAGTACATTTAAAAAGCAATAAATGGAAAGACATCCATTGCAATGATTGGATGGCTTCATATTGTTAAGATGGCAATATTCCTGAAATTGATCTATAGATTCAGTCAGATCCCTATCAAAATCCCAGCTGGTGTTTTTACAGAGATTAACAAGACAATCACAAAATTCATATCAAAATGTAAATGATCCAGAAAAACCAAAACAATCTCGGAAAGAAAAAAACAAGTTGAAAGACTCAATTTTCACTTTCATACTTTACAACAAAGCTGTAGTAACCACAACAGTGCAGCACAGGCTTAAAGATAAACAGAAAAGAACTCAGAGTCTAGAAATAAACCCATACATCTATGGCCAGTTGATTTTAGACAGATGTGTCAAGATCATTCAGTGACATAAAACTTTTCAACAAATGATGCTAAGAAAACTAGACAGCAACACGTAACACAATAAAGCTGGACCCCTATCTTATTCCACGTGCAAAAATTAATTCAAAATAGATCAAAAACCTAAAGTAAGAGCTAAAACTCTCAGAAGTAAACACATGTACAAATTTTCATGATCTTGACTTAAGGAACAGTTTCTTTATTATAACATCAAAAACACAAGCGACCAAAGACAAAAGAGATAAACTGGACTTCATCAAAATTAAAAAGTTCTGCACTTCAATTGTCACTCTCATGAAAGGGTCAAAACAACACAAGAATGGAGAAAATATGTACAAATCATATATTTGCTAAGGGATTTGCACCTAGAATATATAAAAAGAACACTCACAACCCAATTTTTTTAAAAAGTCAACCAAATTACAAAATAGGCAAAGGGTCTGAACAGACATTTCTCCAAAGCAGATATACAACCAGACAGTAAGGGCATGAAAAGAGGCTAATCATAACCAGTCATCAGCAAAACACAAACCAAACCCGCAGAGAGTTCACTTCACAAATAAAAGACGGCCAAGGGCCAGGCAAGGACCCCAGTTCGATCCCCAGTACCAAAAAAAAAGCCTGAGGGTACGTGTAGCAGGGTCAGCGGTACCACTTCATAAAACTGACACCACTTGTTTTTGTGCTCAGAGGTCAATTTTGCTGACCAACTGGTCAGCCACGAGGCTGCCTAGAACTGAATCTGGAGAACCGAGGTGTCGTCATCACCTGAATAAATTCTGTCTGCTCTGGAATGTTAAAAAATGCATAAGCTGTAAGCCTACAATATGTTCCACTGGGTTAGAGAGAGAAAGAAAATGGCACAGTATGTTTGAGTTTCCAAGCAAGGTCCAGCATGGCAGTCTCCTTAGGAGATTCTTAGCTATGTTCCTTGCAGAAAAATATTCCACTGGAGACATTCTCAACTCATTCTCAGTGATTTAAGAATATGAAACGGATCTTCAAATACTTCTTTGGATTTATGTAATTCTTACATCATGATACTTACTGTACTTCATGTTGTTCCAAGCAGATATAAATTTCGTTTTTAGTTTTTCAACTTCATCTGTCCCCGCAGCCTCCATATTCAAACTCTAGCGAAAAAGCCATCACTTGATTGCATTCTTCTGTAGAGTTTAGTCCTCTGCACTGACTTCAAAAATTAAGGAAAAATAAGGTACATATCACATGGTGCCAGGATGATGAAGTTACTTAAATGATTAAACACAATTAGAAGTGAAAATGAGCAGACCAATTTCTCATTTTAAAGCAGAAGTCTTATAGAATGACACTCTGTATTTTAACCACAGAAAACATTCAATACCAACTATGTAACAATATAATTATCACACAATGCTCACACCTGGACACAGTAAACACAGATCAGCTTTGAGGTTTGTAGGAGCAGCTGAGATTGTTTTATTCATAATTAGAGAAAGTGATTTGAAATCTTATTTAAAATGTTCACTACCTTCAGATTGGAGATTTCCAATTATATTAAATCACTATTTCCATATATAGTCTACTCATTTCATTTTACTTTTTAAATTATGGCATTTTCTACATTTCCTTCCTATCTCAAAATGAAAGCATTTTTTGTATTTTGAGAAGAGGGGGTACCGGGGATTGAACTCAGGACCATGTGCTTACAGGCAGGCATGGCGCCACTGAGCTACAGCCCCAGCCCACTAAAGCACTTTTTAAAACACAGGAATGTCTTAAATTTGTAATAGAAAATATTTTCGTACTTTAAAATCAGATTAAATGTAGCTCATAGTGTGTGCTCCTTAACTTCACTTGAGGGAAAACTGAGGTGTGTGATATAATCTGAAAAAGGCACAAATTATAACTGAGAATGTTTGTGCTTGTTTGCAATAATTCAGAGTTTACTTTTTAAGAAAAGAATGCTGCACAGAATATTAGCCTTTTAGGGTTATAAATACACACTCATAAATATTGATGCATTCATTTCTCTCAAGAATAGGCAGTGTTTGGGGCTTGGGGATTTAGCTCAGTGGTTCCGGCACCTGCTTCCAAGTGCAAGGTCCTGAGTTCGATCCCCAGTACCAAAACAAACTATAATTTTATAATTTGTATTCAAAGCTATTATACCTCACAGCTCTAGGGCAGGAGAAAACATGGTCTATCAGAAGAATTTTGGAAAGCCAGTATGTCCACAGTACAGAGTGTCTAAGAGGCTACACAGGGAGGGCTGGAACACGCAGGGCCTTGCACAGCAGGATAAGAATTTTTTTCCCTACCCTAACAGCAGGGATATCCAAACAGGAACACCAGAGCCAGATTCTGCGGACTTGGTTTTCAATCGCAGAAAGGAGTTCCCATAGCTCTGGGGTCTACCCTGCTACAGTACCGGTCACACTAGTGTAGTCTGTAATTACCGGCTTCTCCCCTGTCTCTTACTCTGGACAGTAAATATTTTGGGGTGTCCTTAAATTCTGCCTGGCATGCATCTGAAATGAACTGATAAATACAGAAATACAGATACTGCCTACTGCCAGTAGCACTCTCAAGAGAATGAGAATTTTTTTTAACTGACAACTAAAATAAAGAAAATGAAAGCCAGGGATTTAGCTCAGTGGTGCCGCCACCTGTCTTGCAAGTACAAGGTCCTGAGTTTGATCCCCAGTACCAAAAAAAAAAAAAGAAAACTACATACATACATATTTGGCAAAATCTGGAAAAGCACAAATAGTCTATAAAATGTGTGAAGGATGCCCAGGATTAGCTCAGTGGTGCCACAAGCTCAAGGTCCTGAGTTCGATCCCCAGTACCTAAAAAAGAAAAGTATCCTAAAATGTTAACAATGATTTCCCTAAGCCATTACTTTTATATCATGATTGTTCACATTTCCTGAACATTATCTAAAGAACACAATTTTTTTTTAGAATTTAAAAAGTTTTGTTTTGTTTATTTTTGTACTGGGGATCGAACTCAGGACACTGCAGGTGGCAGAACCACTGAGCTAAATTCCCAGCCCTAAAAAGTTTATTTCTTAAAAGCCACCAACCTTGAATCTTATACATCCAAAAGTTTTAAGAGAAGGAACATGCGTGTATCTCTTCCTAAAACAGGAAATGCAGGCCACAGGGAGACTCTGGTTCTGCAGGCCCAGCGCTGCCCCGGCCAGTCCTCAGCAGGAGTCAGGGAGTCAAAGGACAGAGCTGAGGAGGCAGCTCACAGGGCCAAGTCTGCAGCAGAAATCTCCCTAAGCAAACAACGGGCAGGCAAGATGCTACAGGGACACAGAAATTCACAGGCGAATATCCCGACCTCAAGGAGTTTACAGTGGACTAAATTGCTCATTTCTTCCTTTTGTTATTTTTAGCTAAAATTTCTGCTATACAGACTATTTACTCAGAATAACTTTATCCCCAAATGTCAGACGTTTGAAATGTTTTTGGACCATATCCTCAACTATTCCATGGTAGTGCTTTTATTGTCATTGTTACAGAGGGTAATGAGAATAACAATCATCACAGGATCGAACTAAAGGTAAGTAAGTTGTTACTCATTTAATAATTCAGTACAGTTATTCTCCATATGACTAAAATTGACTGAAACTCACTTTATAACAAAAACTTTAAATGACTATTTCTAAAACTAGAGCAGAGACTATTTTGAGAGGGGATCCCTTGAACCATATTGGAAAGTATTATAAACTGAGACACTTTATAACGGAATAATTAAAAATACCTAATGAGATTTGCCTTACTGCATATTAAAGTCATACTAAGACTACAGTAATTAAATTTAAATTTATTATTCTTATTAGCACAAAATAACACCAAATAAAATATAATAGGGAATATAGAAATAAACCCAAGATTTGAGGATTTAGTATCTGATATATTTCACATCAATGAGAAAAAATGGCTAATTTAATAAATATTAGAATAACAAGCAAGTAAGCTTAAAAATAAGGCTGATGACTACCTCACACATTATGAATTTAAAATGAATCCAAAATGCAAATGCAACAGCAGATCCCATGTGTGTATACTACAAGAAAGAGAGATTAAAATTATCTAAACGATCTTGGCATAGTATGGTATGTAAAACCAGACGTCAGGAAGAAAAATATCAGGTAAAAATGAAAACATCTGCAGAGGAAGAAGAAAAACAGCAAGAACAAGGTTGAGTTACAATCCAACATACAGGATAAAAATTCAGTTCTTAAAGCACTAATGTATAAAATAGCCATGTCATTAAAAGGACTTCTTCATAGTTGTCTTTACTATTTAAATTGTTCATATAAGCCTCTTTTAAAATAACAAAATTATGTGAAAATAAATCACTCAAGTTGGGCATAGTGGCACACAGCTGTATTCCCAGCACTCTGGGAGGCTGAGGCAGGGGACTGCAAGTTCAAGCCCAGACTGGGCAACTTAGCGGCTCAGTGAGACTGTCTCAAAATAAAAAATAGTGTACATATTTTTTTAAATGCTGAGCCATTTGTTATTTTTGCTTTTATGGTGAACAACTCTATTCTTAACAGTTCTCAAAGCCACCAGATTCAGCTATTCAGTCATGTGAAAAATTCACTTCCTTAATTTAATTCCCCAGGGCAGCTCTGACTAACTGAAATTACTTAAAGGATATCCTTTGCTAATTCACAATTTTTGTTTCACCTTAAAATAAGTGTCATGAGATTTGGAAAGAGGAAAAAGAATAAATTAACATTCAGTTCACTCAGTCTATTCTTTCCATTTGTGTGAGTTGAGCCAAGGAAAAGCAAAACAAACAATACTTACGGTTTTAACACCAAATGAGCAAAAGCAGCACACAAGAGGAAGCCACAAAGAACTCTACAGTAAGAACAGCCTATTCCAGAACTCTGAAATAGCTTCACCCACAAACTCCAGTTCCAAAAACTTCCCTAGTCTTAAAAACAAAATTAAAGTGAGTTACAATTCCTTTGTCTAATGACAGCCACAGCACTATGCACACGTGAGGCCAAGGCCAGGGTTACAGCCTGGCCTGGCTTCCTGCCAGTGGCCCTTCCAAAAATAGTCATCTGCCTACAGAGCACAATGCTGATTTTGCCACTGTCCAGCATATTTCAACTCCTCAGTAACTGAGCACTACCAGTTGGACTGACCGCGATCAAACTGGTAATGCCAGAGTTCTTGTTTATTCTACTGCTGTAAGCCTCAATCCGGAAAAGCCTCAAAATAACATTTTCCACAACCTCCAAATTACTTTTTCAGAAAGCACTAGTAGTTTGTTTCTTCAAACTTAAGGGCAACCACTAAACCTTTTTTCAGACAGGATTTTCAGAAAGAATATGCGTTCTTTACTAATACATATTCCAACACATCTTATCATCTGCCTTCTCCATGTTTCTGTTCATTGTTTACATCCCGACACATCTCTAACTAGAGGAGAAAACTCCACATAACCCTACCTCGGTGAACACAAATTAAGTTATCACGAGAAGCCTTAACTTATGCTGTACCACCAGTGATGCCAAAAGTAGACTGGGCACTGAGCAGAGTCCTTGTGAAAAGCAAACCATCAGCACTTGATGTGAAATCAACTGACACCGGATGTCATCTTGTCGACCAACAGCTGATAAAGTACACAACAAGCGTGAGCACACACTCGCATGGATGGCCTTGAAGGACAGGTGAGGCAATCGGCCTCTCCCATCTGACAACAGATACGTTTTACCACTGAGGATTTAAAGTCAACTGCAAGCTCCCACAGAATTTAGGGGCTGATAAAAGGAAAAAATGGAAACAAAGTCTCTGTTTCCAGGGAGGGGTGGAGGGGGTGAAGGGAGTGCAGGGGAGTGAGGGAAAAAGAACTAAGATCTGTCATGTAAAGGTACAAGATCCAATGATGAACGTAACTGTACTGTATACCTAAAAAGTACCACTAAACTTAGTCAGAAAAAATTTTCCTAAGGGCTGATTACACAGAACACACCTAAGTCACACTGCACAATGGATGAAGGCATGCAGGCTTCTGGTGTCTGTATATGCCTGGACATCTTCCTCACATAGAGGAGATAGAGATGTTGATTTAGAATTTTTGATGTGCTTGTAACCATGTCTTAAAATAAAATGAACTGAGTGGGTCTACTCTAAGTTTTTCTTCTATTAGACTCTTTTCTAAATGTTTGCATTTTTA